ACATTCATTTATTGAGTGAGCTTATTATGCGCCAACAGAGACCTATATCAAATACAAAATGGTTCAAAAGAAATGAATACTGTTTTTGTTTTTATGAGATAGTATCATGATGTGACATAATTGAAAACATTTCACAAAATAAAGGATTAGATAAAGTCCCAGTGGGGAGCTTAAGCTGCATGCATAGCTCAAGAATTTCGGGTACCTGACAGACTGTTCCTCAAGTGACCAACTATTATGTGTGATCGAAATATACAGTGAATGCTTAAATTAAAAAATATTTATTACAGTGAAAGACGCATTGCCATTAATCCCCTTCAAAATCCCCCCCCCCGCCTTGATTTGTGTTTTTTGGTACCTGGGATCTAACTCGGGTCCTTGCGCTTGCGAGGCAGGTGGCAGAACCACTAAGCTAAATCCCAGTCCCCCCCCACCTTGTTTTGAACACATGAATCTCATCATTCTTTGCACTTTCTGAAGCAATTCTGGAAGTCCTCTGTCAGAGTGTCTTCATGAGGTAGGATCAAAAATGCAGTGAATTCTTCTGCCAAGTGTTATCCAGCAGAAAGGTAGACTTGTAAAGCCATAACGGTGTGTCTTAGTCTCCCTTATTCACCACATCTGCCACCATGTGATCTCTGGCTGTTCCCCTAAATCAAAATCACTGTGAGAGGTAAATGTTTTGTATCAATTTAGGATACTGAGGCAGCCGAGACCGTACAACTAAAGCCATTTACAAAAGAAGAAACTGCTTCAAAAAGTGGCCAGATTATAAAGAATAAGCAATGAGACTCATTCATAGGAAAATGGACACATATTGAGGATATACTGCTATGTGAAATAAATAAGTCAGATGTGTATAAATACCGAATGGTTTCTCTGGTGTGAAAAACTACAGTGGTACATAAGATCCTAATGAGATAATTGACCATGTGAAATAGGAAGAAAAGGGATAAGGGTGTAGGGGAAATGGGAAGGGTAGGGGAAAGGTAATAAGGGAAAAGGAAAAAAATGAGAATGAAAAAATGGAAATAAAGTATTTGTAAATAGGGAAGGGCGGAGGGGGTGAAAGGAGGGCAGGGATAAGGGGAAAAAATGAGAACCAAGACCTGTCATGTAAAGGTACAAGATCCCAATGATGAATGTAACTGTACTGTAGACCTAAAATGTACCAATAAACTCAATGAGGAGAAAAAAGTGGCAAGATTGATGGGATAAGTAAGGAAGAATATTTTGAGGGGGATTAATGACAATGTACTTTATACTTCCATTTTTTTATTTTAATATTCACTGTATATTTATCATACCTTTTATATAATCAGAAGAAAGTGGTATGTTGTGCTGTGGAACCAATAAATGGATGACTATAGTCATTAAAGACAGATGTTTTAAATTTAAATAAAAGAAGACATATAGGTTGACTGAACTTGCTTAGATCTGCTCCTGTATGGTCAAAACTGTACCCTAAGGCAGGAGAGAATGCAAAACAGACTTATCTGGTCCCCAGTGTTGTGTTGAGTTTTGTTTGTTTGCTTCTTTTGTTTTTGAGTGTGTGTTTTAGGGACTATAAGATGAAAGCTACTGATTAGACACCCAGTAGGACTAGTGAGTACTGTTAGGAAAGACTCCCTGACTCTTTGACAAAAAAACAATGAGAAAAATGGCAACAGCAAAGGAGCCTGTTAGGGCAGAAGAGGGCTGTCAAATGAGGCCGCCCAAAGATGACACAGGTAGGACCTTCAGGGACAGAAACAGCAGCAGCAGGGATACAGGGCATGGAGCCCACAAGTCTTTTAAAGGCCCACTAAAGTGTTTGCACTGTGATGTCTATTAAAATAAGCCACCCAACTATTTTATAATAATAAAAGTAAAATAATAAGTCCAATCTGAATTAGTTTTGTGTTCCCACCAAAGCAACCACAAAATATGAATTAAACTTTTCTTTTTGTTATGAAGGAATGGGTCCTTGAAGGCAAAAGTTCCAGTGGCCCATGAAAGCCATCCTGTCAGCCTGCTAGGCTAAGGAAAGTGAATGTGCAGAGGGTGGGATTGGAATCCTAACAGCTACGATGGAGAGAGGCTTGCAGTCAAAGACCATGGCAATTGCTCCCCTTAAGTTCCTCCTACAGCCCCACCCACCCACAGTCTGCAAGGGCAAATCAGAAAGTACCAATTAACACATAACACAGACTGAACGCACAGTTCCATACTGTGTAAATATAATTAGAGTCACTCCTCATTTGTCTCAGGAGACCGCCTAGGAAAGGTGCTGACTTGAAGAACTGTCCATCTGTGATTTGCAAAAAAATAAAAAAATTTTTTAAAATGCACCAACTCTGTTGGGGAAAATGATATACACAGAGAGAAATACACAGTACTTGGAAGTCTTCTTAAATGTCTTGTATCCTTGTTTTAAATAGATAGGCACTAGTTTAGTTGCTGCAACTTGACTACTCGTTATAGAATTAGAAATCCCATTGTTTCTACTTGCAAACAAATCATTGAATCTAGGAATTCCTTATGAGTTGTGGATTCCAGGTAAGAATCTCTTATTAAGAGGGAATTTTGCCCGTGCTTCTTAATTCACTGGATCTGTGCTTCCTTCAAGATGTTTAGGACCCAGCAGCAGTGTGCTCCAATTTAGTTCTAGTTCCACCACTTTTAAAACATACAAAATGCTCTGCTGGCTGGGGAAGTGAATGAGTTAAAATAGGGCCAGTATGCTCCGAACCCTGGTCTGTGTTGGAGGAAATCCACAGAAGCACATTCGGCTGGGAAAAGCACACAAGGGATCACCAGTACTCAGAGGGCACTGGGAAACACCCTGACCTTTTCCCATGTTGAGCGTTTGAAGAGAGCGTGACACGCACTGTGATATGCCCAAGTGATCGAATATTATCCTGGCTCTGCAGGTGAGATGAGGACAGTCATCACGTTGGCCTTTTTTTGTGGCCAGCTTCCTGCAGGTGCTTAAACCCAGGGTGCAGAATTTGTAAGATGTATAATAATTTAGCATATGCAAAACTGATTAACATTTCCTTTGTAATAATCTTGCCATAATGGCATTTAATTAGCATTAAGAATTAGAGGGTCACTGAAGCTTAGAAACCTAAGATCTACTGAATAAAGTTTCTATATATGAAATGCTTAGGTTAGTTTTTCATAAAGATTAAAGGAAAGTGTTTTACTGGAAATGTGCTCCTGAGTAAAATTGTGGATAGCTGATTCTTCCAGAAAGGAGAAAGATTGGCAGAAATATATTTGCTTAAAGGTTTGGGGTGCTGGGGGAGTAGCTCAATGGTAAAATGCTTGCCTAGAATGCAGAAGTCCTGGGCTCAATCCCTAACATCATAGGGAAGGATTGCTTATATTCAGTCTGAGTAATTATTGATTACTCACTGACAGCAGTAGCTATCTAAAATTTGATTGCTGGCCAGGGATTTAGCTCAGTGGTTCGGTGGCCTGTCTTGCAAGCACAAGGACCCGAGTTCAATCCCCAGTACCGAAAAAAAAAAATTAAAATTTGATTGCGATCATAAACAATCTACATTTATGACAGTCAGTGTAGGACATGAAGGAGAGCCTGCTAGCTCCCTCAGCCAGATAACAAGAGTAGGCATGGTAAAGAATGTAGCAGGCAGCCCTAGGAGGCTCTGCATCCCCTTTTAGGCTCAGCAAAAATAATGGTTTTGCATTTTTGGCCAAATCACATCATCTTTGAGCTTTACTGGCTTGACTATCTATAGAACACAGTATCTACCTACAGAGTTATTCCAAGACCAAATGAGTAAAATTGCATCAGCCACATAGCAACGTCCAGTACATGATAGCTTCTAAAAATAGTTTTGTTCTCTTCCCTGTGAGACAGGACAGCAGCCAACACCTCCTCATCTAAAGACATCTCTGGTGGTTCCACAGCCGGAGATTCCTGTGACGCCCATTATTTTCTACTCTGAAATTTCCATTCCATAGTAACAAAGAAGAAAAGAAGCAGGCCAATATTAACGTCGTTTGTTTTACTCCCTGCATCTCATTTGCTTATGCCTGCTTGTATATTAGAAGTTAGGAAAAAGATTATTCTCAAGAATTATTCGTTAGAAAGGCTTTCATTTTATATGTTTCATTGGTGAAGAAACAAATGATTAAAAGAAATAGAAACATCAAAGAATTTTCCACAGCAAAGGACCAAGAAAAATAAACTTCCCTTTATGTTGATAGTGCTTTCCAAACAGTCAAAAACATCTCAAGATCTTGAAAAGGAGTTTAAACTGATTTTTCAAAAATTATTTGAAAAAAAATAGGCTGAAATAGTCACTGGAGGATGTTGTAACGTGATAATCAACTTCTGAAGTTTCAATGTTACTTTTTTATTCTTGCTAAAAATGATGCAGAATCAAATAAGTTTCTTCTGAAGTACATAAAACACTTAGATGCATGAATGTACTTTCAGTGTATATTTTCTTTTCATTGTCTTCATGTTGTTTTTACTAGCTCAATAGTGAAAACCTGGGTTTGAAGATTACATAATTATGCAGATATATGACTTTTAATGTTTTAAGCCACAGACTTCATAAAGGAAAGACACCTGCATGTGATATTACTGTCAGCCCCGTAGAGCTGCTAATAAGCAAAGTTTAGTGGTTTTACAAATTGTTGAATCAATTATCAGCCACATTCTGAATTCTAAAAGAATCATCCCACAAGATAAATGGAGAAGACAGAAATAACAGCTTGATTTGACGATACCATGTGGAGGTGGCAATAGGATCTGGGGGAAATCTTGCTTTGATATATGAATGCGCTCACTCGAAGTGGCACGATTTGAGACACTGTCTCTGAAACCATGGCAGTATCGTTACGGCAAAACTGTCCTTTCTGTTCTCGGACTGTACCACAGTTGTGAAGCAGTGAGGTTCATGGGGTATTATCTCAAAAGCCAAAAGGCTATAAAGAAAAAAGTTGATGGCAGGCGCTAACATGGGTGTCATGACTCTTTTCAGGTAGTAGGTGTTACCTTGAAGAGAAAGTGGCACTGTCTTCAAAAAAGTGACCTGACCCTGGCTTTGGTGGGTTTTTCTGCAAGAAATAAAAAGCACCGCATGTGTTTATTATACATCCTTTCTAGCTGACCACTGCTTTGTTCTAGAGTTCAGCATGAAAGGACTAATTTGTTTTTGTTTTGGTTTTTGTTTTAGTGAAATGGCATGTCCGTTGCTAATTCTAGCTACTAAAGTTGCACATGTACAAAATATCTTTATATAGTTTATGGATTGGTAGCATTTCAAATAAATGACATACTGAAACATTGACCTGAAATTCTTTGAGATGCTTATCAATTGACATTTTTGACCTCAAGAAAAGTCTGAATTATTATTTTTAAAATTATATCTTGTAACATTAGATTTGTTCTAATATATATAGTAGGAAATTAAATATTAGCATGCCACTTAGTTTACTGCTATTTATTAGAACTTATTGGTGCATGGAAAGACTTCTTCGGAAATGATTCTGCTCTTTTGAAAGAGCAAGCATAAAAGTATTTGTCATAAATCATATTTAGTCTATAAATGAGCATAGCTTATAAAGGTATACTAAAGCTTACAGCATGTAATGTTTCAACCAAATAATTTTTATATTTGAAAATCTTTAAGCAAATTAGTAGTATCACAATAAATCTTTTCCCAGAATTCAGAACTGTATGCATCTCCATTTTAGGAAGTTCACATTGCTTCATTAAAGAGGAAACCTGGACTCATGTACCCTGATTTGTTTTCTAATGAATCATTAAGCTTCCATTTATTCTTACAGAAATCAGTTAGTTTTGGTCACATAATCTTTTCAGAACACATATAAAAATGACTACCAATATAGCTGCAGAATAAAAAATATTTAATATTTGATATTCCCTCTTGAAAATACAACATTATCCTTCACTAAAGACTAGTTCTTAAGTTGAAACAAGCTTTCAGCATTGCAAACAGATTCACACATTTCAAAATCTATTAACTCTGTGAAAAATTCATCTTTTTTCTCATAAAGTTGCTACTGGCTACATTTTAGAAAGTTGATGCCTGAGGAAATGGACACTTTTGATCCCTAGAGTGAACCTGCCTTCTAAATACTTAAAGCCCTTGGAAAGCCCAAGAGAATGATGTAATCCTATCCCTTTTCATTGCATAGAAACTATCAAGATTTATTAATCTCTGGAGTTAATACTGACCTTAGCTATTAATTCCCTTTTCGGGTAACACATCCCCATGTGTTCATTTTTTTATTTCTTTACCTATGATATCTCTGTATGCTACATTTGTATTTTAAGTAGGTTTATAGCACATTCATTTTATATGTGCTCTTAGAAGAAAATTACTTCTTCTAGAGAGGATCTGCCAGAGACCTGAGAAAATCAGGATTTTTTCATTTGTGTGTTTGCTTGTTTTTGAAGTATTTAAAGGTTATTTAATTTTTACATAGTATGAGATTTATACAGTTGGGAAGGTAATATTTGGGTTTTTTTCATTGTGCTATATCTAATAAATTATAAATTCTTTATAAATTTTTTATGGGGTTTTTTGTTTTTGTTTTTGCTTTGGGGTTTTTTTTTTTGGCACCGGGGATCGAACTAGGGTCCTTACGCTTGTGAGGCAGGTGCCAGAACCACTGAGCTAAATTCCCTAATAAACTATAAATTCTAAAGTCATAAAACCAGCTTGCCCTTTTAGAGTTCATGATTCTGTTTTGAACAGAGACAGAGACAAACAGATACAAAAAGATCAGTCCTTTAATACTGATCATCTTTTGCTTCTGGATTTATAGAGTTCTCAGACTAAGAGATGTTTCTAAATTCTACTAAAATCCCATAGTCTCAAAAACATTGAAAGTGGCAACATTTTTAATTTAATCATGATTTTCGTAAATCAAGTTGGGTGAATTCCTACTATGTCAAACTGAAGAATTCTTGAATTCTTAGAGATTTTGAAATATTTTTACACTTTTTATCCCCAGTCCACTGAAAAATAACAAGGACTCCAGACATCACCCACAAAAGCCCTCTGTGGGAGTCAGATTCTGATCCTAATCTCTGTATCAAGCTCTTGTCATTCAAAATATTTAGGGATTATACAATCATAATTTATAAATGCATAGACTAGGCAACCCTATTGTTTTTAAATTGATAATATAAAAATGTTTGTGATGCTAATAGCCTTAAAATACATACCTATAAATTACTATGTTAAAATTAAATATAATATATCAGTTATAAAGGTAAAAAATGTAGGTAAAAGTTCGCAAATAATCTTTTTTCAGATTTTGTGTTTTTTCCTCAGCCAAAAGCCTCAAGATTCACTTGCAGCAGCAGCCTACCTCTTCATTTATGTTGGATTGCTCTTTAAACAGTAGAGTATCTTGTGATAAAATAAGTTAAAGATTTCTCCTGACACAGTCATTGTTGATTTCACTGTTATAGGGAAAAGGCTCTAGGGCGGCAGATAAGGCTGTTGCCATGGTGATGAAGGAGATACCGAGGGAGGAGTCTGCTGAAGAAAAGCCCCTCCTTACTATGACATCACAGGTGGGCAGACCCATAGGGTTCCTGTAGGAAGCTGACATATGTCAATATATCAGACAATATGATCATTAACTAGAAAAAAAAAAAACATTAACTCTGGAACCAATTTTTCTTAAAGACAGTTTCAATGAAACAACTGTACATAAAATGCAAGCCAAAATTTCTAAAACAAATTTTACTGACTTATTTATTCATGTATTTTAATTTTAATTACTCAACTTTAGTTTTAAAAATATACATGCAAATACTGTAAAACATGTTGTTTCTTTAAAAGGAGTCTAACAACTTTGTGAAACAAATAACAATTAAGCTAATGGTACATTTGAACAACAACCAAAAAAATCAAATTCCTGTGAATAAATACAATTATATTGTATACATATGTCAGTTTACCAGTAGAATATCTAAATTTTCTTAAATGTTAAATATATTTATGTTGTGACTATGCATACTACATATTTGTCTATACATATTTATGTGGATAACTAATTTACAGGAATGAGCCAGAAGTCCCTGAGTCCCCATGAAGAAAATGGCATTTGTGACTCTGCTTGTACTTAGTGATCTTGACAACAACAACAAAAAATTATCTCTATTACAAGCTCATGAGGGCCATTTTCAGCATTTACTGTAACAAGTATAGCAAAACCCATTTGGATTTGTATGCAAAGACATGCTGAGACTGTGGATCCTGTATGTCCTCAGGGACTTTTGAAACACCCTGTAAAATCTACATAAATATATATAATATACTCATCACCACTCTGTGGAACTATCAGTTTTAAACTCTTAACTGAAAAATATTTTTACTTGCATTTATCTTATAATTTAGATTAGAATGTTATTTTAAACATTTCATTTTTTCCATAATGTAATAGTAAATGCAGTGATTTAGTTCTTATTATATGCACATGCCTCGAATTAGAAAAATGTCCATTTACAGTCCTCATGAAAGGCATTGATATGAAAAGCTAAATTATGGCAACTTATTTTTAGAATATCAGCAGATCTTGTCTCCAGCTGTTGCCAACATGTGTGGTTATATTTTATTCTAAATACTATGTTGTAAGTAATGAAAATTATAACACTAAAATTGAATAAATTTTTAGGCTATTAAAGATTCCCAGGACTTTGGGATAAAATTCATATCATCAGGGATTTTTTTCTTTAAATCCATAAAAAGAGATGTTTCTTCCCAGTGACACATAGAAATAGTTGAAAAGAAATTTACTTCAAATTTATGAAACTCTACTTTATGTAGTACAGGAGATGTAGATATTTTGTAATTCTTGCCTACCAGAGTCAGACCTTTGTGAATTCCATGCCTGAAATATTCAATCCACAGCTCCTCAGGTACATAATTGGGAGGTGAGAAGTTCTTGGAGATCTTGGCTAACAAGAGAGGCATATGCATTTTATCTACTGATGCTGGCACAATTGTGCTGCAATATCTCATCTCAGGACATCACAATTTAGGACAAATTTTTATCCCCCAAACCATGCATTTCCTATGCAATTCCCAGCTATCTTTCCCAGATGTTCAAAATCACCATCATAACCTAGCTTGAATTTAAAATTTATTGCAAAACAATATTTTTATTTTTTAATTTAAAATTGTGATTATTACCATTCTCTCATATTCAGAACATGTGTGTACCAGTTCCTTCTTTAATCCCTGTCTAATGTTGCATTAACTGTTTAGAGGTACCAGTTACAGTTTTACTGCATGAAGATTATATAATGCTTTCTCAGATACATCATATTTTTGTTGCCTACTGGCCCGTTTATGAATCAGCAAACAGAGAAATCTGATTCATAGAATTTAATGCACCTGTTGTGTTAATAATTTTATGGAATTGACTCAGTGACAGCTGTGATACAATTATTTCTCAGTCAAATACAGTTTTATTAGTTGATATACTTTATCCACTATACACAAGTAGCTTCTTCCCTGCTATGCACTAGTGGCGTGCACAAGCCAAAAAGAAGCAGAATGATCTGAAAAAGTGAGTACTCCCCATGGCAACCATAGCATCCAGTCCACATACCATACCACATTCTTATTTGTTATCCTTTGTGAATGTACTAGTGTCTGCCCTGGTGTCTCCTGTAAAGTCCCCTTATGACATGGTGCTACATACCACTGAATATATCAACTCATCTTCATCACTACTCTATTGATGCCAGCTGCTCATGTCAGATTCCAGATACATCTTAAACCAATTGCTGCTCTCTCAATAATGTCACCGAAACAATTATAGTAGGTAGAATACAGAATAAGTCACTGAAAGACTGGGTCCTTACCTCATTCCGTAATTGTTCACTCAATAGATCTTAAGTGTAGAATAGTCATACAGTCCAGTAGGTTTTATACTATGTGATTGTTATTGTGTGTTCCAGAACTTTCAAAGGAGCTTAGCTATACACATTCCACTGAAGCCACGTATAGCACATGGAGTAAACTGAACAAAGCAGAAAAGTGGGCCAGATGACCTGAGTTCAAAAATCGCTGGACCCCTGCCAGCTGCTTTTTCTGTTTAACTTAATTATTAATTCTATGTTAGCAAAAAGCTCACGTTCATGCTGTCCTAGATTAAGACTAAAAATCAAGCAGTATGTAAACAAGTATGCACTGCTAAATGTCCCAGGAGGAAGAAGTATATTCCAGTAGCCAAGTTCTTTAAGGAAAAGGCTTTGCTAGATCTGTATTGTGCAGTAATAGCAGCCACTGGTGACATGTGGCTGCTGAGCACTTTTGGCCTCTTGGGATTGAGATGTGCTGTAAGTATAAAATAGAACCCACTGCCAGAGACTTGGAGACTTAGCTTAGTGATGGCATGCCTGCCTAGCAGTCGCAAGGTCCTGAGTTTGATCCCCAGTACCAAAAAAGAAGAAGAAAAAGAAATAAAACAAATGCCAGATTTTGAAGACCTAATTTTTGAAAAATTGTGCAGACTGTCACACTAATAATTTTTATATTGAACATATGTTGAAATGATAGTATTTTTAGATATGCAGTATTGAATTAAAAAGATCATTAAATTTGATTTCATTTGTTTCTTTTCCCTTTTTATAAAATGGCTACTGGATCATTTTAAATTTTGTTTCTCATTATATTCCTATTAAGCTACACTGCTCTAAGCTGTAATAAAATAATTCTGATCTGAGAATAGGAGGGGAAACTGTGCCAGAAGATTACACATAAAAAATGTATTTATGAGAATAAAATGACTTTACAGAGACTTTTTCTGTGGTAAGGAACCTTGAGAGATTTTTATTTTGACCATGTCTCCTGGATACTTTAGTATTTAGCAAGACACATCCCACTCGTTTTTTCTATAGAACACAGTGACTTAGAACTGTAATCCAGGTCCAACTGGTTAAGCGACACTATTTTTTCTTTGCACTCAGCCTTTATTGTTCTATCTGTTCCCACTCTTCATACCTCAACATTGATTTAACTGTTTTGTCTGATAAAGATAAAAAAAAGTCTTTGATTGGAAAAACATCTTCAGAGTTACTAAATATGGCCTTATTGGAGGCCATATTTATTACTAACATAAAACAGTTGCCCTAACTACATTCTTCTGCCTACCTTAGTGTTAGTAGTGCTAAAATTAATGATAGCTAACCATTTCCCTATAGATAGCCTTATTTTATAAGCCTAACTATCATATTTGGAAAAATGTTTATAATTCAGTTCATTGATATTTAGATCAAGTTGAAGAGTTAAAAATTATTACAAGGCTATCCTTTACAAGAAGACCCTCTGGTAATTATACATACGAACTAGGCTGTGTCACAAGCCAAGTACTTTTAGCTCATGGAAACTTAATTCTGTCAGGTTTCAGAATTTCCATGACAGAGCTCCAAAAGTTTGGGAGTTTAACAATGCATGGTAGTGATTCAATTGCCTTGTCTTTTCAGTAAATTCAGTTCATCTGCTGACTCTTACAATACAGTCACTCTTTCGATAGGCATTACATACATTGATAAGCTTGGATAAGATCATGACCACAAACAAATAGTTCTACTAAAAATTAGATAATTAACAAATGACACTTACCATAAATCAACAGTGTCACATAGAAGAGGAATTTTTAAAAGCACAAATATATACTTATGAAAAGCATATTTTTGTTTTATTCATATAGAAACAAAACAAACAAAATTCTGTCCTTTAAATAAGGTAAAAAGACATAGTATATTACTACAAGTTATTTAAATCATAATTTCAAGTATGAGATGTTGTCAATTGTTTGCAACTTATCTTCACTTAAAATTTTTCTTGACATACTAAAATATTTAAACATAAAAATATGGTATTTTACTATAAAACAACAGTCCAAGATTATTAATCTAAATCATAAATTTATGAAATAATGTGTCGTTATCCTTTATATTATAATCAAAATGTATTTTTCTTTATCAATTTTTAGTGATATGTTATTACAAACTTTTCCCTCCATATTTTTGAATTAAACAATATATTTCTCAAAAGATAAGTAAATCACAAAACAAGGAATATAAACATACACTGAAGTTTAAGTAATAGGCAATATTTTAAAGTCAAACCTTTGTTAAATAGACCCCTGTCTCTTAAATTATATAACAATCTAATTTTAAGCATTAAACCTAGAGTAATTCAACCAAGGCAAATTTTATTTCAGCTAAAGTTTAAGACAAGTATCCATTAAAGCAATATTTTCTACTTTTGGTGACTAATATTAGTCATATCAACTGACTAGTTTCTGAAAGCACTATAATTCATTTAGGTCATGTGATTGAATGCATGATTACAAGGAAGATACAAAGACTCAATAGTATTTTGAATCCTGATTGACAAGAAAGCCTTACTTGCAAACTTTCACCTATCTTCTTACTTCTGCTGTTTCTGTGTTCACTTAAGTGTTTTCTCTCAAACTTTCCAGATTTGAATCTCCGATTTACAATCAGTGAGGGGAAGAAGTAGGGTTAAATCTCAAAGTGCTGTTTGTCTCCCTTTCATTTTGGTCCATAGCCTTCTTCCCAGTGTAGGTCTTTATTTCCATTTTTCCCGTTATGCATTCATACTTGGCATTCTTGACTTCCTGATTTAACACTTGGTAGAAGCTTTGCAGTTAGAAATGTTCGTTTGGGTACCACTAGGTTTCCAAATTTTTAAAAGATGTGACACCGGGGAGAAATGGACTTAGAAGTGTAGGTTCAAACCTGCAAAGAAACTGCTAAATATTTTTGAGGCCCACTGACCTCTTTGTGAACTATTGAAATCCACTATAAAATTGAGGGCACAAAATTTACCATTCAAAAATTTACCATAATATCAGAACAATATTTATTAAATTGCTATGGGATTTTAAAAAGTGAATCTGGTTCCTAGTTACAGTCTATTGGGAAGGGAAACAGACAAAACTAGAGATTATGATACTGAGTAGAACGTGAGAATTTGGATACTTTAGAAAGGCACTTACTGCTTGGCACTGAAGAACGTTCCCAGGAATGTCCCAGTTAAATGGGATCTTGGAAGAGAGATAAGAACCTGCCACCATTAGATGGGCTTCTGTGTGTGCATGCAGACACACATGTACGTGATTTGAGATTGAGCCCAGGGCTTTGTGGATACTGTGAACATTACCAGTGAACTATACTCCCAGCCTTAGAAGGGTCTTTGAATTGATCCAAATACTGGGAAGAGGCCAGAGCAGATTAAGAAAGAAAATTTAAAACTGTAAAAAAAAAAAAAAAAAAAAAAAAAA